TTGGTTGGTAGCTACGAGCAACTCAAACTCAGGCAGAAATTCAACTATTTTTGTGCTGTGTTGGCTGTTGTTGGCTTTTGTTGTTGTTGCGCGTGTTGGATTGGTTTTTAGTTGGGCAGTTCGGCAGTTCGGCAGTTCGGCATATGCAACAAGTTCGCATGTAAGCTCAATCAGTCTTAGTTGTCGTGTGAACGTGTTTGGTGTGTTAACGCATCGAAAATTTCGACAGAATTTTTAATTTGAGTGGAAGAATTATTTGGATATAAATTCACAAAATGTTGTGCGCAGTCAAATGATTCGCCATAAATTACGAAACAATAAATAAAAAATTAAATTAGTTGCATTTGTAACTGACGTGATGATATCTCGGAATTATAATAATAAATCGCGAATTGATTTGAAATAAGAAATAAATTTTTCATTAATTTACAATTAGAATTTGTCAACTGAAAAGTTCGCGCGCTTTTTATGTCTTCAACCAAAAAACTTGCTTAAAGAATTGCATTAATAAAATATTTAAAAAATTTAGAAAGTCTTAAGAATCTGTATATGAAATAATTAATACTTTGGCAAAAAAAAAACGCCCATCAGGAAAATTCAAAAAAGTAATAAATGTGCTAATGTGAAATACAAAAATATTATTATTTATTATTATTTATTAATGTTTTTCGAACCACTTTAAAAGCTTTCCGTTAAATAAAAGTGAAATACAAAACAAAAAACAAAAAACAAAACAGGCAATTGAACGGCAACAACAATTTCGTTACAGTGTTTCTAATAATAAACGAGCGAATTTAAATTCAAGTTTGTAAATTATTGCAGTTAACTTCGCTGTAAACGTCGCTGTTAACGTTAACGTCACTGTTAACTTCGCTGTAGTCGTGAATGTGGCTGTGGCTGTGGCTGTTGCTGTTGCTGTAAGAGCTATTAATGAATTAATTAATTGAAAATAAATAGAGTGTGCAGCGCCGCGTAAATATTGCTCCAAATTAGCAACAATAACAACAACAACAACACCAGCAACTACTACTATTATTGCTACAACTACAACTTCTAAATATTAAAATAAAAATAAACATAAAAATATAATGAAAATAAAAACAAAAAACAAGTTTTCTTTTTACTTTTCAATTTAAAATTTACAACGAACGCGCCTAACAAATTAATTATTTTCGGATTTTGGTTCAACAGGCGAAACTCTTTTAGAGAATCAATTATTTTTAGAATTCAATCAAAAAAGGTGAGTTCCTCTTCTCTTCTTTTTCAGAGAATCAGTTTTTGAAATCACAAAATAGATGATTTCGTATAAATTTATATCAAATATGTCTTGCAAAATCTATAGTATAACATCGGAAATTATAACCATAATAAAATTTTTAATAGTTTTTAAATGGATTTCATATTTAGAGATTATAGTCCATATATGAATATCATAATTAAATAACAATTCATTAGCATGACATTAGGGTGACTTTTATATTCAAAAAAATCATTTTTATTCCATATTAAAATATTATAAATTATAGAAGATTCATTAGTCTCAGCTCATAATACACTTATTTGCTGATGTTTGTTGCTTTATTTGGATTCACATATTTTGCATGCGCGTTTACAGTTTCTGTGAAAGGTAAGCATTCACTTTATTCGAAATTTATTAGTTCGTTATTTATAAACTTCGGCTGTAGAGCAACCAGTGCTAACTTAAATATTATAAAATCAATATTTTCCAAGCGAAGTAAGAGTAAGAGAGCTTGTAGTGCTTCTACACGCCTCTAACGTAGTTAGAAATCAATATATAAGATGGTCAATTAGACTTATGCTAATTTTTACTAATTCATGGCTCTACAAAAAACTAAATTCCTTCCAACACTACATTCCTAGATAGTTGTTTAATTTATAATGCTGAAATCAGATTTAGTCTTTTAGATTGAAATTTTATAAGTTGACAAGGCATTTTTTATCTTGGACTATTATAAAAATACAATCTAGTACCTTCCAAGATCATCCTACTTTACAAAAAATTTAAATAAATATGCCTTACATGTCTGTACAAAGAAACTTATATATTGACGTGGGTTGATAAAGCAATTCTGAAAGTGTTCAAAGGAAAAGTTCTTTGGTTAATCTTTGACTCAACAGTTTGGTCATTGCTATCGTATTCGAATGAATTATAAAATTGCTGTATATCCAGCGAATTATCATCCAGTAATGCCATGTATGATATTGAAATTGAAGAAAAAAATATGGTGGAAGGTCTTTTCTACCATGAAGTAATAAATTTCAGTAAGAATTAACTAAAATAACATATACGCATGAAGAAGAAGCCCATGGGAACAATTTTTTTTTCAGATCTTAACCTAACAACGAATTAGTTGTGGAGATTTTTGATACTTTATTTATAAGTTATAATACAATAAATAGGGTAGCTAATCAAAACAGGGGATTAAAACTAATTGTTCTATATTTTAAGATGATTTATATTTTACAAAACAATATCTGGTAAGATAGAAAACACACATGAAGATTATGGAAGATGGAAGATTTTCATACGTTTCAATATGAAATACAAGAATTCAAACTTAAAATTGAATGGATTGGTTACATATACAGGACATTATAAAGTGTGTATTTGATTTTTTTATTATTCACTCTCCAATCTAATCTGTTTCATTATTATATATATTGTTAGATTAGGTTATACTGGCAATTCTAAGGATCCACTTAACCCAATTTGCCTATTATATTACTGTAAAAGAACTCAAAGGTTTGAAAACCACCTTGAATCTTTGGTAAAGTACAAAATGCTTTCTAGAGGATTGTTTCTAGAATTGATTAAGATTATCAAAAAAGAAAGCGACGTGCATAAATATTGTTATCATCACAACTTTTATATCTAATACTAGCATAAGTTTTAAATACTACTTCACCTATATGCTCTATTCAATTGGGAATCAATAAATAAATAGGATACTTGATTTAAAGTTCGCTCAATAGCCTGAAGCACTATTATACATATGTTAAATACTATATGACTATATAAAGTCCAAAATCGTTGAAATTTTATTCACATCTTAGAATTTTCTTAGAACTTAGTAAAGAGAAAGCGTTCACGGCATCTAGCGTTCACGTAAGTCAGTGTTTACGTTTTTAAGCGAATATAGTATATACTAATAACGAAATCGAAGAAGTTCATTCAGGCATTCTACCAAAGTTTTGTATTGTTGCTACTGTTTAGTTAAACAGTAATTATTCAAAGATAAAGTATAGCAGAAAGTAGAAGATCTTTTATGTTAAATGTGTATAATTATATTCTAGCTAAACAAGTGATATGTTAGACGTACTTGAAGTAATTTTTCGGCTAATAAGATTTATTATCCAATATAGTAGCAGACTTTTTCTTATGCTAAGGACTAGAAACTATCAGTTGAGTTCCAAACAAAAGTAAAACATTTTATTTGTAAGCTGATTTGATGTATTAAAGATATATGGAACTCTAATTCTGACCATGGAATTTACTATTACTACATATTGTATAAAATTGAATTGGATTCTGACAAATAACACTAATTCTTGCTTTTAATTTTTAAGCTAGCATATTTAATACGAAGCCACTAATAAGCTAACTTTCAGCACATAAATTAAATGTAGCATGACTTACGATTTTGCAATAAATTAGTTTTGATTTCAAAATTAATGTTAAATGCACTAATAACAGAAAAATAAATAATTCAAATAATATAAATTGCAAAGTGTATAATTTATTATGATTAAGTATTATTTTGACAAATTCTTTAATGGTGCAGAACAAAGTCACTTCAATTAACTTTCAGCGTATGAAATTAGCAGCAAACACGCAGATACAGATACTTGTATTAAAACACATTTCTCAACAAGATACAAATGCCGGCAGTGCCATAGTATCTTATGGCCAGAATACACCTGCTGGCCGCTTAGCTTTGGCTTT